ACTTTTTATATTATTTGTTTTGAGTATTTAACCTGTGTTGCTCTTTATGTGACATTCTGTCAACTCAAACGTCATCATGGATTTAGCCTGCACTCTACTTCTGCCACATTTTAGAGCAGCAATTTTCAACCGGTGTGCCTCAAGAATTTTTAAAACATGCCACACCTGACTATTTAGTCAGGGGGCACTGACCTCTTTTCCCTTAGATTGTCAAATCAAAAATGACAACAGCCAACACAATAACCAGTGTGAATGAATCAAAATTATAGCTTTATTTTTGTCAGATAGGCAAAAACTATATATTTTTTTGTGTGTGCCGCAAAATTTTAGTAATTATGTGTGTCATGAGATGAGAAAGGTTGAAAATTACTGTTTTAGAGAGTTGTGTAATAGTATGGTGGTTACAAGTAGAGAGGAAGTGGGTATAGATGAGGCAGTGTTTTGGGATATTCTAAAAAGCATCAGCAGTATTAGTGCTTATGTAGATGAATGTAATTTTGGAGTACTATATTTATTACTGAAAAAAATTTAAAACTGCAACTTGAACTTTACCTGTTTTGAATATTTTGTACTAAAGATGTCTAATGATCCTTGATTTGCTAGTTTTCAAATTATAATGGCAGAACACCGTGGTTTTTAAGTGCTACTACCCAGCTTTCATTTCATCTAACATTTTGTAGAGGATTATATTCATACTTTGTTCACATTCCTTTTAACCTTCAACTTTCAAAGGACATAAGAAGAAGCTATGGGAGTCATTGCTTTGGGAGCCTGAATTTTGCTGCAATATTAGTAATCGTTGTATATATTAGGTTGTTTTTCCTTTTTCTTTTTGATTGTGGAAGGAATAACCTCTTTCTCTTAAGCCTGGGTTGTTTGTTTTAGGAACAAACTATAGGACAGTACTGATAAAAAGAATTTGCTAGTCTTCTAGCAGATTTTATATATCATAAAATTTTTGATTTTTAATTTTCATTTCACTTTGAAAAATATTCCCAAGGCAGTTTCTTTTTAAGAAAAACATACTGATATGTAATTTATCTGTTAAAAAGAAATTGAGATTGCTATTTTTTTTTATACAGGTTTAAAAAACGAATGCTAATAGAACAACTGGAGAACTTCTTGGATGAAATTCATCGAAGAGCCAATCAGATCAACCATATTAATAGCAATTAAAAGAAAACAGAATGTGGCCACTTATTTCACTATATCTTCTCCAAACACAAAGTAAATACAAGACTGTTGTAATTTTGCATTCATTTTTGACATGCATTGTTGGCTATTTGAAATACTAAGAGCAAGTCTACAGATCCTTTTCTCATCATTTTACAGTGACCTTTTCTTCATTTTGGTTTATTTTTGTAATGTGAAAAGTATCACTCTAAAAAACATTTTTATTTAACAAACTAAAAATATTCCTTCAAATCTCTTGCTTGTCATTGACTCTTGCGTGTCAATTTCCCTCAGGTTCTATTTTCTTAAACCAACCTTTAAAATTGTCACCTCTGTTAAGGTTGAACTTTGCCAAAAAAAAAAATAAAATAAAAAAGAAGTTACTTTGTAATTTTTGGGGAAAAAAGCACATACATTAAAACTAGTTAATGTTTTGTATATACAGTTATTTTGGATATATTATTGTAAGTTGTACAAATGTATTTTGAAGAATATTTAAGAAAAGCACTTTTGTTATTCCATCAATAAATGCTCTATTTTACTCTTGTGTGGTTTAGGAAATAATCACATTTAAAGAAATCATTTAAAATCATCTTAAGATAATGGAATTTTAAAAGCTTTGCTTTTAAGCATTGGAAAAATACATGGCTTGAAGTTCATGTTTGTTAAACCTAAGTGTAATCACATGGTACATAATCTGCATTGTCTTTTTACTATATGTTCTTAGCTTTTGTTGGTCACACCAACGTACTCCCATTTCTGCCTAGAAAATGGAAACTATCTGTAGCAGATAGGCAGATACTTTAAAAGCTATTTTAAAAGCAGACACCTTTGAACATTATTGGTTTCCTTACTTCAGCCCCTTTCCTTTCTCACTAGGAGTGTGGATGGCTCAGAGTTGAAACTGTTATTTAGAGAGTTGTAAGTTTGGGGCACATGACATACTCTGAAATATCTAGCCTTTAGCAACTTGATGCCATGCTTACAAAAGTCCCATAACAAATTGAGGGTTCAAGGAGGATCTCTTTGTTCTACTCTGCTGTTCTTACACTTAAACTCTCCATTTTATTCAGAAGCTAAATGGAGAGGAAACACATTTAAGATGACTGTTCATTTTGCATTACCCCTGATTACCTGGGACAAGGAAAAACAAACACGATTCATTGTCAGCCCACAGTAAAGTGACCTCATGTGTCCTCACTGAGGAAATGACCCTATGACCTGTCTCTCTCACCATTCATATATCACTGCTGTGCCTTGTAGCGCTTTTGGGGTAACCAGTAGAAAAAGAAGCTTAAAATGCATTTAGATTAAGTAGGTGAAATAAATTTGTAAAATTGAAGTATTTTGGGGTTCATAACATTTGAAAATTACATACCCTTATCTTTTTACACTTTAGCAGACACTTTTTAAATTTTAAGGGTATAGCATAATGAAATTAACTTTTTATGAAGAGAAGCATAGATGAAAGTGGAGAACATGTTTGAAATCTGTTGATTTTAGTCTAGGGGATTTGAAACTCTCCCAATGCAGAAGACAAACCCTGTCAAGAAAAAGAAGCGTGTATGTTATATAGTATTTTCATATGCAATTCTTTAAACCTTTTTTACCTCTACCAAATACCTTTAAGTAAAGCAGGATATTACTTAATGGAATTGTTAAGGTAATTACCTACAGTCACATTGCTAAATTCAGCAAGAGCTACACAAAATCCAGAATATATTGTCTGGTCTTAAATTATATGTATTTAGGTTCTGAGATTAATGGAAGGGATTACATACTACAAGTCATTCAGATAAAAGATCATGCATAAGAATATTTAGGAAAGGGATTCAGTCTATTCCAATATTTAGTGTTCTTAATAAAAAAATACTCATTTTTGTTTCAAAGGTTGCTTATGAGGTAATAATCCTTTAGACCTTGACCTTTAACCCATTTTGGGGGGATGAACCCTAGAGGGAGCTGGGAAGAAGCAGTCTGTTCAATCTCTTCTTTTTGTCTAATTCTCTGCCATCATACACTACACACTAGATTTTAGGTTTGGAAATCTAGTCACTAGGTTTGGAACCCATTGAAGCAAGCTTACTATCCTATCTCAGGTTTTCTACATTTTAAGAAATGGCATATTAGTTCAATTAGTGAAATGCTGTAGAATTCTTATAAGCAAAGGGGAAGGGGAGTATACTTGAGGAAAATATGTCTTTTAGGTCCTTTAGATCACTGGATGACTTTAGGCTGGACAAATGATATTTTTCAACAGTTAAATCTTGAGATTAAGCTAGTTCTTAATGGTCTCATACGTGTCCCATTTGTCAGTTGAGTCATTATTTTCCCTTATTAGTAAGATTGATCGATTTGATGTACTGAAGGCTGAGACTCATTTTTATCTTCAGAAGAGTGTCCACTTTGCCTTGTGTGATGTGGGCAGGTACCTCCCAGAAAGAGAAGTAAATTAATTCACAGGGACTATAGATGTGTGGCAGATTATGGCACTGGATTTGGATTGGCCTTATGTTTTCATTCCCTGTTTACTAAGGTAGTTCTGCAAACTCCTATCATTGAAATAGTGATGTGTCCTTTACCACTTCAAAGATTTTACAGTCATTTTTATGCAGTTGAATTCCAAAAAAGAAATTGTTCTCTTTTAACCGTCATCAACCTTTATTGGCTATCAGCTTTTGATAATTACTGCCCTGTTCAAATTTAGTCTCCTGTCTCTTTCTTGAGGGAATAGAACCTGTCATTTTTTTCATCTCATTTTTGACATGTATCCTTTCTAAGAGAGGACTTTCTGTTGCCTGTGTGTGACGTTACTATCTAATATGTATGAGGTTGGGATGATTACTAGCAGGACATATTCTGTTGATGGACATTTTCTCCTAAAATAGATTATTTCCTAGTGAATAATCATTTTCATCCTTTTTGTCACAAAAGTGTTCCTTTGATTTCTAGCACAAGTTACAGCGGTATGCAAATGATTCTCAGATAAAATGATGTTGACAGTATTTCCTTAACAATTTGTGTAAAGCCTATGCGTAATTTTCATTCTAACTTTTGACTTTTTTCTCTCCATAAATAAAAATAATGCCTGATGTTTAGTTAAAGTAGATCCACTTTTGCTTGATTTTATTAGTCTTGTTCCATACCATTTTCTTTTAACATGTTGTTTAGACTTGCCAACAACTCTTTACTGAGAATCTCTTTTCCTTCCTAGGCTGATAAATATTTGCCAGAGTGGGAGGGAACATTAAGAGGAATAATTTGAATACTTTGTTCAATGTTATTGACGCTAAAGGACTTCTGCTCCTTATGTGCTAAGAATTTGCCTGTGCCATACCATTTTTTGGATTAAGATATGAGGTTGTATAGTAGGAATTAAAATTACAAGGGCAAACATTTGATTTTTGTGTAATTTCAGCAAATTTGAGAAAGATCAACAGACTATAAAAATCTGGTGTGTGCATTTGCTAGACCACTAGGGTTGCTGAGAGTCAGAGGATTCTTGGATACTCTAGTGGCCTGAAGGAACTATCTTTTATCCTACAATGATGACAAAGCTCGGTAACTGCTGGAAAAGTCAAGATTTATTATTTATTTTACTTTTTTCTAAGTTTCCACAGAACTAGAAACCTGAATTTTAAAACCCTATATCAACTATGAGTGAGCTGAGAGAGGAGGGTGAAAAACCCACAGAGGATATTAGTTTCCCTTTTAGTTATGAGACGTTCTTGCTCGGGATACACGACAGCAGCTGGGGAGCTTCTGACGCGCCACAGGAACCACAGGGAAATGCCTGTAGACTCCAGTGGGCACAGGAGCTCTTGTTGCTAGAGAGACGCTGATACATATTTAAATTCTAACGAAACATACTGTGATATACCTGTGTTGTGTTCTCTCAGGAAAAAGATGAATGGCCAATCTGCTTTAAAAATAGGAATCGAGACCTTTTTAGTAAAAATAAAGCTGCAGGAAAGATAGTAAATAGAAGAATCCCATTGCATTTTGTATTTATTTGTGGAAAGTAACTATTGAGATTGGAGATGAAGTCAGTTATATCCCTTGATTTTTGAAGAAGTAAAGCATCCTAATTAGAGAGATGATGGGGTAAAAGGGAAGAAATTAAAGAAAAATATACCACTTAGTGAAACCTGTGACTTATGTTTTAAATATTCCATGGAATATTTTACTGAAGGTCATTTTCAGAATGACTTATTCCTTGTTTATGGGGATGATGGTACAGACCTTTTTCAAAATGGGTGTCTTTTCCCCCCATTATTTTTCAAAAACTTGGTTCTCGGTTATCTTTTTTTTTTTTTTTTTTTTTAAACTGTTGTACTACATCTGGACTTGGGGTTTTCAGTAGGAAGTTTTACAAGTGTGCAGAATGAAGTGGCTAAATCTAACAAAGGCAGATGTGGACAGAGAGGGGCTCTATGGGCGACTGAGTTCCCCTCACGAGCGTATATTCATACCTGTGGCTGCTGGTGCCTTGGTGCCTTTGTGGTTTTCTCCAAAAACATAAAAGCCGTCTTGGCCTAACCTAGGAAATAAAAATGTGAATTGCTTATTGAATTTTTTAATGCATTCTGTTTAGGGATTTGAGTACATTTTTAAAGAATGCACTGTAGTTAGTTACAGTCTTGTGTTTATTGTATATTTAGGGAGAGCTTATCAGAAATTCTTAAGGTGCAATATTTTATGCAACTTTCAAAACCTCAAATTCAATAAATTATCTAAATCACAAATTCATATTCAGAGCTGCGCCCCATTTTTGAATAGTTATTTTAAAAAATAATTCTAGTCAATGTTTACATCTTTTCATCAGCCAATATATCGAAAGCTCTGCTGGTATGAGAATCACCAGAATATGTGTTCCAGTGCAGATTCTGGAGCCCAGTAATCAGTGTTTTCAGTAAGCTGAGGTGATTCCCTTTGAATGCCTTCTTGGACTGCATTTTAAGAGCCACTTTTAAATGACAGTGGCTGGTTTGTACTATAGGCTTTAGAAGGCAAAATTCAGTGTATTAAAATGTCTAATGCTGCAGGAGTGCATTCTGTATACTGAGATATAACAGCTATGCAATTGCCTCGTGGGCTAAAATCTGCAAAGAAAATAAGAGGTTAGAATTATAATAGTTGTGTTCTAACAATTTCAAAGATAAGCCTAGCAAATAAGAATATATGTTAGGGGAATTAACAGGTTTTTATAGTTTAACCATTAATAATTTTTAAACAACTCCACAATGAAATAGTACTTGATGACTATAAAGAATGAAAGTTAAGAATCTCAAGAACTAGAGGAAACTCTAGAAATTATTCAGTTCAACTCTTTCATTTTAGAGTGAGCTGTTGTCATCTGAGGTCACACATTTGATAAGCAGAGTTGGGCACATGCAGGTTTTCTGACTGCAGCGCCTGTTTCCACCCACCCCTTCACATAAATACGGTCATCTTTCAGAAAGTATTCGTCAGCTCTAGCATGCCACTGGGAAGGCCTCTGCGGTGAGTCTTAATCATTTTGATGTATGTGTATTTTGAGGAAGTTTCTTTGTTTAATTTTAGACTAATACTTAAATTGTTTTTGCATTTTTGTGCACAGACTAGATAGCAATCATGAGAGAAAAGAGCCAGCCCACAGTATAGAATCTACAGCATTTCATCCACCTTGTAAATTAGATACACACAGGAAATTGTGAGTTGGCTGAATTCTCTGTAAGGAACAGTGATTTTCCAGCATCAGTGAAGGGACCAGACAGGACTGGAGAAAGGGAAAAAGCAATGGAAGTGTTCACCTGGCATCCTTGTCCTCAAGCCAGTGAAGAAACTGGTTATTTAAGCAGGTGGTCTTTTTCTGCAGGATCTTTTAGAAAATAAAAAATTTCTATAATAATTGTAGATAAAAAAAATAGTTCTTTGGTGGTTATGAGAAGGTTTTACTAATCTGTGTCTTCACTGCTACCTAGCATGGTGTCTGAACACTTAAAATAAACGTTAATGAAATGAGCAGAGGTTTACTATGAAACCTTTTATCAGTAAATGTGTTTTGTTAGAGTCCAGGCACCTTGGTACAATGTGAGAAATGGGACCAATTGTATGAATGAGACTTTGGTTAGATGGGCTTAGCTATTTCAGTTTTTTCTCCAGCATACTACCGGAATTGTTTAACAATTGACAATTTTACATGTGTGCACAGCCATAAGCCAAGACCCATAGCCCATTTGTCCCTAGCATCTGCACCTCTCTTAAATTTTATCTCTGGTAAGAGTTAACGTTTCAGAACAACATTTGTGATCAGAGTAAGAAATCAGGAGTTATTGTGTGTGTGTGTGTGCTTGCCTGATCTTATATTACAGATACTGTATGCTTACTTTTGTTAAGTAGCTACTTAAATGTTATGCAACTAATGAAACCAACCCAAAAGAGGCCAAGCACAAAGGGATTCTCCTGGCTTTGGACTCATCCTCTCCTGCAGTGTCAGTAGCTATTTAGTGCCATTGAGGTCATAACAACCTATTTTGTTCCCAAGATTGTTTATAGGTGCTACTCTGTAAAAGGGTTCCCTAGTTTATTAAAATGGGAAATGCAGGTTGAGTAGTTTTGTGCTTTTGCTTTTAGTAGTGGACTTCTTAGAGCTGCTAATTTGCTAATGTTCATGGTGAATCCTACAGGAGGACTATAATATGTAGTGTTTAGTCATGGAACCATCCACACCACCCCCTTTCTCCAAATTTACCAAATTAGTATTCTGGGGAATGTAGCTTGGGAAAGTGTAGCCCACCATAAACCTATCTGCTCCTATATTACATTTCAACATCCAAAGCAAAGGGGTAAGATTCTTCTTTACTCTCCCTCCTCACATAATCTCCAATCTTCTTCCAGAACATATTTTAACACATTTACATGTTAACCTTACTTTTTAGATTGTTAGTTCTTAGGAGGCAGAAGCTTTCTTAGTCACTTTAAATACTTTGTACTTCACGCAACTAGTGTAATAATGTTTATGTGTAGTAGAGGTTGGGTGAATGAATATTAGACACTCTTCACACTGTCCATTTCTTTCATTTCCCCATTTACACAGTTGCCTTCACGTTCTTTAGTCTGATTTCACTTGTAAGGAAATGCTGGTGTCTGTAGAATCAGGGACACAGGACAAAATGAGTCTTGGGTAAGTCTCATCCAAACGATTCTTTCAATGGCTCTTCCCTTTTATTAGTGGAGACCACCATTCTCTGTGTGTGGTTGGTCGTACTCTCAAAAGGTTTAAGAGTCTTTACAACATCACACAGTATAAATACAAGATTGCAAAATGTAAATCAATGTCTCTACATTTGATCCTCAGCTTCTCATAAAGCAGGATAAATATATTATTTGCTGTGTCTTTTGTCTTTAATAATTACTATTGGCAAGTTTAGTGGTGTTTTAGAAAGTTATTGCCAAAATTTGCTTCTAGTTTATTTTCCTCAGCTTTTTAACTGTAAAAACTTGTAAAAGACGGAGAGTGTGTCACCTCGCACGCAGCCCAGGACACAGAGTGCTAAAAAGGAGCTGAAATGGCCTCTGAATCTAGGCTATAGTTAGTTTCTCCATCCTTCTCTAGCCCACTCCTCACACCTTTCTTTTCCCCTCCCCCCCAGCTTTATCGAGACATAATTGACATATAACTTTGTTTAAATTTAACGTGTACAATATAATAATTTGATATGTTTATATTGTGAAATGATTACTACAATGAGATTAGTTAACACATCTATCACGTCACATAGTTACAATTTTCTTGTGTATAACTTTTCAGACCTACTCTCTTAGCAGCTTTCAAATGTACAGTATATTATTCCAGAACTTATAACTGGAAGTTTGTATCCTTTCCCTACCTCCCTCCCCTTCCCCAGGCCAATACCAATCTACTTTCTGTTTCTATATGTTTAGTTTTGTTTGTTTTTTTATTCCACGTGTAAATGATATACAGTATTTGTCTTTTTCTTTCTGACTTATTTCACTCAGCACAATGCCCTTAAAGTTTCTTTTGTTGTTGTAAATGGCAGGATTTTCTTCTTTCTTATGTTTGAATAATATTCCATTGTGTATATATACCACGACTTTTCTATTCATTTATCTGTCCATGGACACTGTTGTTGTTGTTTTTTTTCCCTATGTCTTGGCTATTGTAAATAATGCTGCTATGAAGATGGGGGTGCAGATATCTCTGAGATTGTGATTTCATTTCCTTTGCAATATATACCCAGAAGTGGAATTGCCTGATCATATGGTAATTCTATTTTTACTCTTTTGAGAAACCCCCACACTGTTTCCATAGTGATTATACCAATTTACATTCCCATCAACAGTGCACAAGTGTTCTCTTATCTCCACATCCTTCCCAGCATTTGTTATCTCTTATCTTTTTGATAATAGATATCGCAACAGGTGTGAGATGATATCTCATAGTGGTTTTTATTTGCATTTCACTGATGATTAGTGATGTTGAGTACCTTTTATTTTTAAAAAATATTTATTAATTTTTGTTACAGATGTTTCTCCTTTTCCCCCAATTGACACCCTCCTCCCAATCCTGTCCCATCCCCAGCATTATTGTCTATGTCCATGTTTACACATACATGCATATAAGTTCTGTGATTTATCTCTTTCCTCCCCTCTTACCGCCCTCTTCTGAGGTTTGTCAGTCTGTACCCTACTTCTATGTCTCTGGGTCTGTTTTGTTTATCAGTTTGTTTTGTTCATTATATAGTATTCTACAAGTAAGTGAGATCGTGTGATATTTGTCTTTCTCTGATTGGCTTGTTTCACTTAATATAATACTCTCCAGGTCCCTCCACGTCTAAGAGATCTTTCTTTCTTACAGCTGCATAGAATTCCATTGTGTATATGTACCACAGCTTTTTTATCCACTCATCTATTGATGGGCTATTTTCAGATCTTAGCTATGGTAAATAGTGCTTCTATGAACATAGAGGTACACATTCTTTCTGATTGGTGTTTCAGGCTTCTTAGGGTATATTCCTAGAAGTAGAATCACTGGGTCAAATGGCAGTTCAATTTTTAATTTTTTGAGGTAACACCATATTGTTTTTCATAGTGGCTGCACCAGTCTGCATTTCCACCAGCAGTGTACTAGAGTCTTATACCTGTTGGCCATTTGAATATCTTCTTTGGAAAAATGTCTCTTCAGATCATTTGCTCATTTTTAATTGGATGATTTTTATTATTTGCCTTTTTTATTTTATCGATTGTTTCTTTTGCTGTGAGGAAGCTTTTAGTTTGATGTAGTCCCACTTGTTTATTTTTGCATTTGTGGCTTGTGCTTTTGGTGTCATATCCAAAAAAATTCATTCCCAAGACCAATTTCAAGGAACTTTCCCCCTGATATTTTCTTCTAGAAATTTTATGGTTTCAGATTTTTAATTCTTTAATTCATTTTTACTTTATTTTTGTGAGTGGTATAAAGTAGAGTTTTATTGTTTTGCACATGAATATCTAGTTTTCCCAACACCATTTATTGATGAGACTATCTTTCCCCATTGAATATTCTTGGCTCCCTTGTCAAATATTTATTGACTGTATGTGCATGGATTTATTTCTGTTTTTATATCAGTACCACACTGTTTTGATTACTATAGCTTTGTAATGTAGTTTGAAATCAGGAAGTGTGATGCCTCCAGCTTTGTTCTTTTTTAGGATTACTTTGGCTATTCAGGATGTTTTGTGGTTCTATACAAAATTTAGGATTGTTTTTCTATTTCTGTGAAAAATGCCATTGAAATTGTGATAGGAATTGCATAAAATCTGAGTTGGTTTGGTATAGACAGTTAACAATATTAATTCTTCCAATTCATGAACAGGATATCTTTTTATTTATTTGTGTCTTTTTCAATTTCTTTCAATAATGTGTTATAGTTTTCAGTGTAGAAGTCTTTCACCCCCTTGGTTAAATTTATTCCTAGGAATTGTTTTTGATGTAATTGTAAATGAAATTGTTTTCTTTATTTTTTTTTCAAATAATTTATTGTTAGTGTATAGAAACACTACTGATATTTGTACGTTGATTTTGTATCCTGCAACTTTACTGTATTTGTTGATTAGTTCTAACTAATGATGCACCACCATTACAGTATTAGAGAATTAGATTTTGACTATATGTATTTACCATTAACAGTGATTTTTAAGCGCATTCATACGTTTTTATAATGTTAATTAACATTTTAAAATTTCAACTTGAAAAATGGTCTTTAGCATATCTTGTAAGGTAGGTCTATAGGTGTTGAACTCCCACAGATTTTGTTTGTTTAGGAGTACCCTCATCTGTCCTTTCATTTGTGAAGAACAGCTTTGCCCTGTATAGTATTCTTGGTTGACAGTTTGTTTCTTTCAATATTTTGGATATATCATCGCACTCTTGTCCTGCCGAAAAATTCACTGATCTTAAGGGGGTTTCCTTGTATATAATTTATTTCATCTCTCTTGCTGCTTTCAAAATTCTTTCTTTGTCTTTGACTTGAGAATTTAGTTATAATGTGTCTCAGTGTAGCCCCCCACCCCTTTTTTTTTGGTTCAACCTATGTGGGATCCTTTTGGCCTCATTAATCTGAATGCCCATTTCTTGTCCCAAATTTGAGAAGTTTTCAGCCATTTTTGCTTTAACTAGACTTTCATTTTCTTTCTGTACTTTTTCTGGGATTTTCATAATGCATATATTGTTTCTTTTTATGGATGTCCCCAACTCCCATAGGCTTCCATTCATTCATTTTCTTTTTGCTCCTCTGGGTAGATAATTTCAAATGACTTATTTTCTGCTTTATTGATTGTTTCCTCTGCTTGGTTGACTCTGCTGTTTAAGCTCTCTTTTGAATTCTTCAGTGTAGTTATTGTATTCTTCAGCGCTAGAATTTCTGTTTTTTTGTTTTTTTTTAAGGTTTCTATTTTTTTTGTTGACTCATTTATTATTTTGTTCATGTGTTATTTTTCCAATTTTGTTTTGTTTTGTAGCCTCTGAGTTCTTGTTGTTTACTAAACCACTTTAAGAGAATTATTCAGGATTCTTTGTTCATACATCTCTATATCTTTAAGGTAGTTATTGGAGCTTTACTCATTTCTTTTGTTGGTGTCATGTTTTCCAGATTCCTCGTGATTCTTGATTCCTTACATTGGTATCTGTGCATTTTAGTAAGCAGTTTCCTCTTCCAGATTTTGCAGGTTTGCTTTTGACCGTAACCAGTCAGCTGTAGCATTCTTGGGCAGGTGGGGCTGCTGTTGGTGTCTGTATTAGGGCAAGGTCACTGTGTATGCTCTGAGATTGTGGGGGGTGCTGCTGGCTGGGTTCTGTGGTTGGGTGGGACTGCTGGCTGGGCTCCTGGTTTGTGTGGAGCTTCTGGCTTTGTCCCATGGTCAGGCTGAGCCATTAGCCCTATAATCATCTCTGGTCAATTGAGGGTGCAGTCTCTTTCCTGGCAGGGTGGTACCACTGGTTGGACACCATGATTAGGCTACTATGGGTTGGGCTCCACAATTGCTCCTGGCCAAGTGAGGCCTCAGGCTGTGCTTCCTGACTGCATGGTGCTGGGCTCCACATTTAAACGGGACCACAGGCTGTGCCCTGAAGTTGTGTGGGACTGAAAGCTGGGCTCCACTGCTGAGTGGGGTTGTAGGCTGGGCTCCGTGGCTGAATGCTTCCATAGGCTGGCCCTGTGGCTTGGTGGTGTTGTGGGCTGGGCTCCGAGCCTTCCCAGGATTGTTGTTCAGGCTCCCTGGTTGTGCAGGCCAGGGACTTTGCTCAAGAGTTGGGCAGGGCTGCTGAGTTGGCTCTGTGCCCAAAAGGGGCTGTAGTATGGGCATCTTGTCTATCTGGGTTCTCTGGCCAGGCTTCCTGGCTGGGCAGGACTCGAGGCTATGCTCACTAGTTTGCTTTGCTGTTTATTTGCTTCTCTGCCTCAGTGGTGTGTAATATGGCTCACTGACTGGGGACCTAAATCAGGCAGAACTGCCAACCGAGCTCCCTGGCCAGACAGAGCCACTGGTCCACTTTGTAGATCAGCATTGCTGCTGGCTGGAGTCCTTGCTGCGGTGCCCTGCAAGTAGGAACATGGTCTGCCAAGGTTTGAGGGCTGCTTACCCCTCACACTTGTAAGACTTGCCCCACTCCTCCATCTCTGTCTGATTCCCCAGTGGTCCCTGTGAGGCAAGACCTGAGTGGGCTTGTCAGGAAGCATCCTGCAACTTTGGGTGAGCTGGATGGATATCCACCTTGGGCTCTCTTTTTCCACTGAAGAAACTGTAGGCCCTGGGGAGACACTGTGGGTACAGTGCTGTGTCAGCCTGGAGAAGGGATGATACAGTCAGAATGTAGCCATTTCTTTTACTCTTCTAATGTGGTCCTTAGCTTCTGTGTTTCAGAGGGGTGCTTCAACCTCACCCCTGGGTGCTGGGATTTTCACAGTGGTGACTTGTCGTCTATGGATAGTTGCTAAATGGTTTTTTGGGGTTGGAGACTAAAGTTGGAAAGAACTCATGTCACCATCTTGATGACCTATTACCATTCAAATAGTCATCAGATGTAACATAAGTTAACTTCAGTATGTAACCAAATAACTATGGGTGGTTTTTTTTTTTTTATTTAAGTCATAGTAACAGAGGGAGTTTATACTTCTCATTGAGTAGAGATTGGAAACTAACTAATCCCTCATAAAAGTCAAGAATAAGTTAGTTGTTTTACGGTTTCAGGTTTGTGCACAGGAATATTTCTTGGATTAGGAAGCATGTATCAAGCCTGCTGATAGGAAGTGGGATTGCTCAAGAAGAGTATCTCTAGCTGGTATCTTTAGTGTCGATAAAACTGGAGTTCCTTTTAAAAGCTTCATGATGTGTAGTGTCAAAGATGTTTGGAGAGGAAAATTACATTTTGGGCTCATTTGGGCCTTGAAATGATATTGAGCAAGTTCTTCAGGCAGCAAAAAGGATTTGATTTCTTGAAGAAGAGACAAAAACTTGAGTAAAATGATTCTGGACTTTGGAACCAAAGAGAAAGGACAAATGTCTCCCTGTGGCTATTGAGCTTCTGTGAACAGTACAAAACTTCACAGTAACATCTTGTTAGTTGTGGGAAGGGAGGCTAGCATTTTCTGATCGTTTACTTTCTGGCAAACTCTCTGCTGAGGTTTTGCTATATGTTGTAGAATTTCATTTCCATAAGTAAGAGGTAAGGTGGGTGGTAGCTAACCCATTTTAGGAATGATGGAACTATTTGTTAGATTTAGTGATCATGTTTCTAGAATTAAGTCAATAGCCCGCTTGGGCACAGAAGTGACTAGTCTCTTGGTTTCTTTTCTTTTTTTTTTTTTTTATCCTCACCCGAGGACATTTTTCTATTTTTTGACAGACAGAGTGGGAGGGAGAGAGAGGAAGAGAGAGAGAGAGAGAGAAACATCGATGTGAAAGGGACACATCGAGTGGCTGCCACCCGCACAGCCAACCAGGGCCGGGGACAAACTGCAACCGAGGTACATGCCCTTAGCGGGAACCGAACCAGGGTCTCTCCGGACCGCAGGCCAACGCTCCAACCGCTGAGCCAAACTGGCCAGGGCTAGTCTCTTAATTATGGTTAAAGAAGGGCCATTGGAAAGCAATACTTTAGCTGGCAAACTTTGTGTCTAAAGGGCCAGATATTAAATACTTTAGCCATTGCAGGCCATATTGTGTCTGTTGCAGCTGCTCAATTCTGTTGTCGTAGCAGGAAAGCTGCCATATATAATCTGTAAATAAATGGGAATAGCTGTGTTTCAGTAAAACTTTATTTATAAAAACAGGTGTTGGGCTATTGTTTGGTGACCTCTACATTAGAGGAACAAAACTTTATGAGAGAAGATTTTAAGGCTGGTGTTTTTTATCAGCAGGAAACATAAATGCAAACTTCACACTTGGCACCACATGGTAACTGCTCAATAATTATTTAGCAAGCCAAATCCATGAATCTATATTTCTGTGAATTTAAACAAATACAAGTATACTTTTAGCTGAATTATAATAAAAGAGGTTAGGTATCAAAAAAGATTCTTTTTAAACTTGGTTGATTATTAGATCTTGTCAGAGAAGCTTAAAGACTTTCGAAGTCTTTATTAATAGGGGAGCTGTATGATGTGAGTTAAGCTCAGTCCTGTTTGAGGACACAGAATCGATTTTCAGATGTACTTCTAGGACATAAAGGCAGGCTGATGTTTACGAACTATGAAGGAACAATCAGTAAGTCATAGTGATTAATTGCATGTAGTGGTATGGAAGAAAAGGTCAAGAACGGCTCCAAAGATTTGAAATACACTAATCTATAGAAAAATGGTATTGCCATCAATAATAGGTATGCCATGGCTGAGCTCCAGGGTTGCAAGAAGACATTTTGACTTAAATGTATGGAGCTATATGCCTGGCTGGTGTGGCTCAGTGGTCGAGTGTTGACCCATGCACCAGGAAGTCGCTGGTTCAATTCCTGGTCAGGACACATGCCCAGATTGTGGGCCTGATCCTCAGTGCGGGGCAAGCAGGAGGCAGCCAATCAATGTTCTCTTTCATTGATGTTTCTATCTCTCTCTTCCTCTCTCTAAAATCAATAAAGGAAAAAAAAATAGAGATATAGAGTGCACCCAAGTTCTTCATCCCTTCCTCTTTCCTTGCCTGTTAGTCTTCCTCTACAGTGTTAGATTATACCTGCATCACTAGGGAAAAATTCTGATTTGGTCATTCAACCAAATCAATATTTATTGGGCATCCACTGTGTGCCAAGCATTGTCAGAGGCACTGCATCCATATACTTGACTATTGTTTTGATGATCTCTTTGCATGTTTAGCAAATGAATACAGAGTTGGTGGGTTTTAAATATTCTAGAATAGATTCTTCCTCCTGTGTTATTTTTGATAAGTAACTCTGCCAGTTAGTCTGTCTGGTCACCTCTACAGCCTAAGACTTCTCTTGTAGATCAAACTCTCATATTTCCTGTGCTTTAGAAGAAAGATTCTGAGCAAAGAATTAAAAAACTTTTTCTGTGCTATAGGCTCTAGCATTCAAACTAGAGACTCCCAAGTTTATCAGGGAAGAAAAATGTCAAGGCCAATGAAAATGTCTGGTGTAATGTCATCTTTTTACAAATAATTTACTACTATCTAGAGTAGAAATGAGCCTGAGCCTTTGGAGATGGCAATCATTTAGATAATGGTCTCCCGAGGGGATTCTGGAACATAAAGCTCTGGCATTTCACTCTCTTTTAATATCTGATGTAAGTCCCCTGTCAGATCACAGACAAACACAGCTGCCCTTGGTTAGTAGTAGCATGTCTACTATGGGCAATGAAATTTAATATGAACTCTGAGAAGAAGGTCATTTTAGGGCAAAGTTACAGGTGCATGAATAATTTGAAGAAAGTAAGATGGATGGATGAGGGAAAGTTTCAAGGTTAGCTCATTAAAAGAAGACAGAATAGGTACAGGGAGGGAGGGAGGAAGAAAGTGTGATTGTGAGGCTGGCATGAGAGTGAGAGGTCAGAAAGGAGCTGTGTTGTTGCACCAATGGCTCTGGCATGCTCCTTGTCATGATGGCCAGAGGGAGGATGTGCTGAACTGTGTCCTGTGGTCATTGACCTCACTCAGAAGGTGGTCTCTTACAAGGGTACTGAGAGGGCTCAAGAAACACCTCTCCTCCACAAAGTCTAACCCAAATTGGACTGTTATAAGAAGCAATACTATCTTATGTAATGCAAAGCACTTTCTTTATTCTTTTAAATTACATTAACTCTGGCTGATTACCACGGAAGGTTCTGTAGAAATAATAAGAATCCCTTAATCAAAATATGATAAAACTTCCTACAAACACAATGCTAAAAATCTTGGAAGAACTGTTGTTACTGAAAATTTCTTTCAAGTTAGCTTTGAGTAGCTCAAAAAGATCAGTGACTCCCCAAGAATTTAAAGTATTACTTAAGGTGAAATAATTATGGATCCTAAATCTAAAAAACAAAAACAAACCATCAACTTTCATTTAAAATTCTCATTCAATATACTTTTATATGCACCATATAACTTCCAAACTCCCAACTTTGATGTCAAGGTTCTCCGGGCTCATTTCTGGCTGCATCTTTCATTGCTCCTTTCCATAACCCCACTCACTGAATAATCCACACACTTTCTCCCACCTCTGTACCTTTGCATCTGCTGTTCTTTCCAGGTGCCCTTCGTCTTTATTAATTGCGTTTGAATTACTATCCTTTCCTCTAAGCCCAATTCAGTTGTTACTCCCTACTTTCCAGCTGTTTTGTGACCTTTGGTTTTTAAAGTCCCATTTGCACTTTGTTCTACTTTTTTTTTAAATTCTGTAATTGATTTTAGAGAGAGGAAGGAAGAAAGAGAGAGAAAGAAACATTGATGTGTGAAAGAAACATTGATTAGTTGCCTTCTGTACATGCCCTGACTGGAAATTGAACCCGCCATCTTTTGGTGTATGTGATGATACTCCAACCAACTGAGCCACGACCACCAGGGCTGTTCCACTCTTTTGATATATAGAACATTTTGCTTTCTATTACTGTTATTTATAACATCATAAGCTACATAAGAAGAGAAGCTATCCCTCTAATTTTTTTTCTCTTCTTATTTTGGTTAATCCTCACCTGAGGATATTTTTCAATTAATTTTTTAGATGGAGTGGATGGGAGGGAGGGGGAGAGAGAGAGACAGAAACATCGATATAAGAGAGACACATCAATTGGTTGCCTACTGTATGACACTGACCAGGGCTGGTGATTGAACCTGCAACCCAGGTACATGCCCTTGACTGGGAATTGAACCTGCAACCCTTTGGTCCACAGGCTGACTCTCTAACCCCTGAGCCAAACAGGTGAGGGCTGAATTTTTAATTTTTTAATAATAATTACTGAGTGCTTATCATGTACCAGGCACTGAGAAAAGTATTTTATGTGGATTATTTTATTTCACGTTCACATAGCTATGTTACTATTATCTTCATTTTACAGATGAGAAAACTGAGGCTTAAGAGTTCATGGAACTTGCCCAGGATGACAATGAGTGCACGGTGGAGCTCAAGGGACCTCGAGGATGTCTGAGCGCGGAGCTTGCCGTCTGCGTTTTGCTACCTCTCATCTCATGTGGCATCTCACACATAGTAGGTGCAGAAAAATTATCGACTGAGAATAGTGTCTCATTCAGTATGTTTATAACTGATAAGACGTTTTTATGTTTGCTGTATACATGTGTGCTTTTGATGCACAGCAAGAAAGTAATGTAAGTTAAAGTTTTGGTTTTCCTGGTAAGTCCTGAGCGCAGGAAGAATCAGCATACCAACTTGGCAATATTTCTGCAAAGGCAAGGTATTTAAAATTTTACTGTTAAAGCTCTTTAGAGGGGCTCCTGACATTATTTTTCTTTGAAAAAAAAAAAGTTTAAAATGGAATTTATATGATCTTTTTCTATAAACCATGTAGGAGTTATAGGAGAGTAAAAATAATGGACAAGACCATTTAATATCAAAGGTCTTCATTGCTATTTTAGACAATGTGACCAATATTTTAAACAAAAGTATCAGATCTTCTCATAAATGGATGTTTTTCATCTTCAGAATAGTTTCCAAAAAGGCAAATGATTTGTCCAAGTCAGTGCTGACATTTCTAAAAATAACTTTAATCACCTTCTCTGAAATTTCTTAAATACTTAAAATACATCTTTTAAAGACTCTTAATGCTGAAACATAGTGGTTAAGAGCATGAACTCAGGAACCCAGTGCTGGGATTTGAATCCTGGCTCAGCCTCTTACTAGCTGAGGGCAAATTTCTTTATCTCTTTTTACCTCAGTTTCCTCATTTGTGAAACAAGCATAATAGCAGTGCTCTGTTCTTAGCTTTGTGAAGATTAAGTGAAACAGTCCTCTAGTGCTCAGAACAATGCCCGGCATTGCTCATGCACTTGATTGTTACCACTGTGGTTTTATTGTTTCTCAGTGGTATCGAGAAAAAGCTAAGGGATGTTTGAAATTAAGTACAGTGATTGTGGTAGATGATAAAACTGTAATATGATTCTTAATAACTAAAGATAATTGTAAAAGTAATGTACAACTATAAAACATGACTGATTTTTTTTTTCTTGTATGGCTAAGAAGGCGTGTCCAGAAGAAATACTATAAAAAATAGCTTGAGTTAAAACAAACAAACACCTTTTACCAAAATCAGACAAGGATATCACAAGAAAAGAAAACTACAGACCAATATCTCATAAATAGATACAAAAATCCTAACAAATACTAGCAAACTGAATCTAGCAACATACACATCATACCATGACCAAGTGGGAAAAACACCATATTATTAGAATAAAGGACAAAGGCCACATAATCATCTCCATAGATGCAGAAAAAGCTTTTGACAAAATCCAACACCCTTTCATAAACACAAGCACAAAAACAAAACAAAACCCACTCAACACATTTGGAAGAGAAGGGAACTTCTTCAATCTGAAAAGAGCATCTGCAGAAATTCCACAGCTAGTATAATACTTAATGGTGAAGAACTAGATGATTTCCCCCTAAGATCAGTAACAAGTTAAGACTGTTCACTATTTCTACTTAACTTTGTACTGAAGTGTATACAGGAAAATTATGAAAGAAAAAGAAATAAAATGCATCCAGATTAGAAAGGAAGAAATAAATCTGTCTCTATTCAAGATGACTTGGTCTTGTACATAGAAGACACCCACACACACATCCTAAGGCATCCACACACACACACAGAAAAAAAGTATTAGAGCAAATAAGTGAGTTCATCAAGGTGAGAGAATATAAGATCAAGAAACAAAAATTAAGCCCGGCAGGTGTGGCTCAGCAGTTGAGCATTGACCCACACACAAAGAGGTTGCCAGTTCAATTCCCAGTCAGGGCACATGCCTGGTTTTCGGGCTTGATTCCCAGTGAGGGACATGCAGGAGGCAGCCGATCGATGTTTCTCTCTCATTGATGTTTTTATCTCTCTCTCCTTCACCCTTCCTCTCTCTCTGAAATCAATAAAGAAATTTTTTTTTTTAAATTAACTGTTTCTTTATACTAGTAATGAACAATCTGAAACTCCATATATAATAACATCAAAAAGAATATAATACTTAATAGTAAATTTAACTAAAGCAGTGCAAAGTTGTTCACTGAAAACTGGAAAACGTCATTGACAAAAACTAAAGAAAATGAAAGATCCTGTGTCATGGACTGGGACACTTAATTGTGTTAGAAAGACATATTCCTCAAATTGATCTACAGATTCTACACAATCCTTACCAAAATCTCAGCTGCTTTTTTGGGGGGCAGAAACTAAGTTAATTCTAAAATTTATGTGGAAATGCATGGGACTCAGAAGAGCCAAAATGATCTTGAAAAAGAACAAAGCGGAAGGACTCACACTTGCTGATTCCTAAAGGAAAAGTACAGAAAACAGCCTTCTTCTTTTCTTTGTTGTGGGTTTTCCACAATTTATGAGAAGCACTTGGTAATTAAATCCTGAGATTGTTGGCTCCTCTGCTCAACCCACAGGAGGAGATAAGGCTGCATTCCTCCTTCCCCTGCTCCCCTGCTGTTTTAACAGTTTCAGGATAATTGTACTAAGTAGTCTCTGGTTAGTAAAAAGTTGAGTTAGGATTCATCCGGTCTCCCCCCTTCCCTTCTCTCTCCCTTTCAAACAGCCTGCCCTGTGAACTCTTCATAACTTTTGTTCTAAGCTTGTTTTACAGACATGGGAAAATGCTGATACAGCACGTCCTCAGTACATCTGCCTCACCACCTCCTGGAAAACAAACAAACTGTAACTTTTCAAGATAACTCACAGCATCTGGTTACAGCTGAACCCCTAACTTAACACAACCCTCTCCCTTCCTTATTGCTTAGCAACAGCAACAGCTCACTCTTTAAAAGTATAATCAATCCACTCTTTCTTTGGGGCCTGCATTGTCCTATCAGTACCTGGCCCTTTCCTCCCTTGAAAAGTAAAATAAATTTCCTCCCTGCATTTCTCCTTCTTTGTGAATTCTTTTACAACCTGTGTCACTAGCCACACTAACACTAAACAAACTAAAAATTTACAGTAATCAAGACTGTGTGGTGCTGGCAAAAGTATAAACATTTATGCATATAGAATAGAATTTAAAATCCAGAAACAAACCCATACATTTATGGTCAATTGATTTTGAAAATTCAGTGGGATTTAACAATAAATGGCATTGAGACAATTGGATAGCCATATGCAAAGAATGAAGTTGGACCTTTACCTCATACCATATACAAAAATTAATTCAAAATGGATCAAAGACCTAAGATAAGAACCAAAACTCTTAGAAAATACAAAGACAGATTTTTGTGACCTTGGTTAAGAAATGATTTCTTAGGTATTACATTAAAGAAGCACAAGAGAGAAACATCTGTAACAAAAATAAAATAAAATAAAAAATTTTAAAAAAAATAAAAGCTAAAAAAAAAAGAAGCACAAAAAAAACATAGATTAAGTGTCATCAAAATTAAAAAATTTTGTACTGCAAAAGACACCATTAAGAAAGTGAAAAGACGGCCTACAAAATGGGAGAAAATAGTTACAAATTACATATAAGGGACTAGTATCCAGAATATATAAAGAACTATTACAACTCAACAATAAAAAAATGAATGACCAATTTAAAAATGGACAAAGGACTGAAAAAGTATTCCTTCAAGAAAGATATATAAGTGGCCAACAAGTACCTGAAAGGATGTTTGACATCATTAGTCACTAGAAAATCACAGACGGAAGTCACAGTGAGACACCATTTCATACCAGCTAGGAAGGCTACAATACAAAAATATGGGGACTTTCTCTTCCTACAGCTGCTGTTATACACAGTTATGAGGTCAGATGGGCTGAAGTCGCCTTGCCTCCAGCCTGAGGAGGAAGCCAAAGCACAGAGGAATACATTGCTGGAGAGCAGAACAGGTGAATGCATCCTAACTAACAAAATAAAAGAATACCTGTACAGTTTCTGAAGGTAAGCTTTATAATAACTCACAAGTTGGGAAGGTAGTCTTTGTCCTCTTCTACCTCCCTTCTCTCCATGTAGAACTTTAAAAAAACTATACTAACCCTGGCCAATTTGGCTCAGCAGTTAGAGAAGAGTCACAGATTTGATTCCCAGTCAAGGGTACGTACCTTGTTTGCAGGTTCAGTCCCTGGCATTGGTCAGGGTCATGCAGGAGGCAACTAATCGATGTGTCTCTCTCACATCGATGTTTCTCTCTGTCTCTCTCTCCCTCCTCCACTCCCATTCTATTTGAAAAATCAATGGAAAAATATCCTCAGATGAGGATAAAATAATAAAATAGAATAGAAATAAAAAACTGCAGTAAAATATATAGAACATAAATTTTACCATTTTAAGTGTATAATTCAGTGGCAAGTGCATTCACATTGTTGCCCAACCATCACCACTATTCACTTGAGAATTTTTTATTATGCTAAACTGAAACTTTGTACCATTAAATATAAAGAGGGACTTTAAAAAAGTGGACAATAACAAGTGTTGACAATGGATATGGAAAAACTGGAAACCTTCTATATTTTGGAATGTAAAATGGTGTAGTTCCTTAGGAAACTGTCTGGTAGTTCCTCAAAATGAAAAACGTAGAGTTAACACTTGACCCTGTAATTTCAGTCTTAGGTATATACCCAAGATAACTGAAAATATGTATCCACAGAAAAATGTGCACATGAATGGTTGTAGAAACCAAAAAAGTGGAAACAAGCCAAAAGTGTCTTGGTACCTAAATGTCTATACACTGATGGAGGGCTAAACAAATGTAGCATATCCATATAATGGAATATTATTCAGTCATTAAAACAACGAAGTACTGATATATGCCACCATAAGGATGAACTTTCAAAACACTGTTTAGTGAAAGAAGACAGACACAAAAGGCCACATATTGTTTGATATCATTTATATGAAACATCCAGAACAGACAAGTCCATAGAGACAGAAGGTTGACTAGTTGTTGCCTAGGGCTGTGAGGGAAGGGGGGATGTAAGTGACAGCCATTGGGGTTGGAGTTTCTTTTTGAGCTGATTAAAATGTTCTAGAATTAGATAGTGGTGATGGTTGCATAATTCTCTAAGATACCCTCACAAGGCCTAAACCACAAGGCCTGCAATGTGGGCATGGTGGGACTAAGATGTGTCTTAAGGGGACAGCCACCATAATCTTGGCTTATTATGGCTACGCAGGGACCAGGCTCTTATGCTAGATCTTTCCATCTTTGAATGAATACTGTAAACCCAGATGTCATATAAAATTTTCCAATTTTTAAAACACTGCATAGGCCTAACCCAACAGGCTGGATTTGACTTAGGGGCAGATAAATTGTATCCTGCCCCATAAATAAATAGGTCTCAGATTGGCAGCTGGAAGCTTGTGGGCAAAGGAAATGGCTGGTCAAGGACAAGTCCAACCCCCTGGGCAGAGCATGTTTTCAGAAGTGCATGATGGGACAGGTGGCAGCCGACACAGATGGCAAGAGACAGGGAGACCCAGCAAGGATTGCTGGTGAATGCAGAGGCAGTGGCCAGACCCAGTGATGGGGCAAAGAGGGCAGGTAATATGGAGCAATCCCAGCAGGCCAGGGAAAGCTGGCTGCCAGGGGAGCTCTAGGCCCGATCCCTTCCCTGGGAGGACAGCGAGGCCTGGGCCCTAGTGTTGGGGGATATCAGAGCTGGCTGGCCACCAAGACAAAATCTTAGGCTCAGTGGGGAAAGACAGGGGCATGGGTCATACTCTTTACTTCAGCCTCTATTATGTGCCAGCTACCGTGCAGTGCATGCTGGGAGAAATGAGCATCCCCACCCACCAGCCATTGCACAGCTGACGGTCAGATCATTCTGCATGGGTCGCAGCAGCCATGAGCAGGTGTCAGGAACAAGAACTATAGAACATTGTAAATGTAGATTTACTTATCCAATAGACATTGTTCTATTCCCATCTTACCTGATCTCTAATAATAATTATTGGTTGAAGAAACAAATGAATAAATTCACAGAGCACTCATAATACGTCCTGCATGGAATCAAAGCAGGAGGAATAGCAAGATTTCTAAATGCCAAAGTTCCTAAAACATTGATTTAAGTTGCATTGGCTTTTTCCTGGATGACAACATCACTAGTCCCACAAGCTGAAGGGGGCTGAGCCTGCCAATGAGGAAGAGGAGATGTGCAGGGCCGGGTGGTGGTTGAGGTTCCTTTCTCCCTTGCCTGCTAGGAACCCACAAAAGCATCCACACCACACACCAATCTGCCAGGATGGGGATGCCTGGCACTTGCTGATAAGAGTGGCCATCAGGCAGGGTGGGCGGCAGCATGGTGGTATTTCAGAACCATGGCATTGCAGTGCGGCCATGCTCTAAAGAGCCTTTTAGACACGACCCTCAGTCTTCCATCTTTTCTCAGCACCAAATGGCAAAGCAATATTCATTTTAAGGAAATACCTGCCAGGGGGGAGGTTTGGTCCAAACATTTTTGGGTTTAGACTCTCTTGTCCATTTACTAAGTGCAGAGGGAAATGTCAAGCATGAAATGGGTTTCTCTTCCCTGTCCTCTCGGAGTCTCCTAGCTCCCCAGCCTTTGCTTACTCCACACTCTGCACAGCAGAGGGAACCACCGAGAAACAGCCCGAGCCTTTCGGAGCAGACACCTGGTCTCCTTTCCGGGCTGTACTGCTCCCGGGCTCCTCGCACTTTAGACACCGGCTGGTGGAGAAGGAGCTCACTGTAGTTGACTTCAGCTGTTTGGTACATTATGGGGAACTGGAGGACGAGGCCCTGTGCACAGGTGAATGGCAGGAGCTGCGTGTCTATGAAGGGGAATCTCTGCCACCAAGTGCTTTGGAAAGACATGGCTCTTCCAAGCACCAGCTGAGCAAATGCTGGGCCACCCTGGTCCTGCGTCAAGCTCCCTGGACCCCCATCTGCTAGAGAGAGTGACTGTGTGGCTGACTCCTGTGTACACGCTCTAGTCTAGAGGGTGCTGAGGTGTTGCCAAAGTTGCCTTTGTAGCCTGCTTATTAGTACCTACTAGTTGTAGAATCAAGTTTACGACTAGTTGTTGCTAAAGACCAAGATTTAATTATTTTCTGAACAGTTGGGGTGCTACAGCTGGTTCCAGATGGTTCCATCTGGGGCCGTTTCCCAGGAAGCATTAGGCATGTGCTGCTCAGGCAGCCAGCCCCCTGGAAGAGACTGAGTGCTGTGCTGGGAGAGGCTGCTCCATGTGACCCCACCCCAGCCTACCCCCATGTCCCCAGTGGCTGGGCCTTAGGCCTGACAGAGCCTTTGCTTAGACAACTTCCAGGGAATGATCTTTACATTTAAATCTCTCCAGAGAGAGGAGCAGGCTGATTACCTCTCAAGGGATGGCTTTTGCCCAGCCCTTTATTTATTTAATAAACACATACTTTGTGCTAGGCTCTGTTCCTAATGCTTAACAAACCCTCACCAACTTCCCACCAGTTCTATTGTTATTCCCAGTTTTACAGATGGGGATGGCAAGTCTTGGAGAGGTTGTCCAAAGCCACATACTGTCATTGGCAAAGCCATCATCCACCCAGTTACCCAAGATAGAAACCTTGGATTTGAACCCAGCAGCGTGGCCCCAGACTCCAGGCTCTTCACAGCTGCACCAACTGCTCCTCCTTCTCAGAGGACAATTGTCCATAGGTTGAGAGCAGCGAACTGTGACCTTGGTCCTGCAGTAGCATGAACTGAGACAGAAATATTTTAGCTAGGGTAGGGCCTCTCAAGAGGACAGACTTCTGCTGCAATTGAAGGCAGCCCAAGTACCCATCCACGTGGCCTCTGAGAAGTAATGGGTGCTATTCTGTTTCACAGTTGCCTGACATTAGCCTCACTGAGGTGGACTGTTTTCTCCTACCTGTGCTCTGCTTGGACACCACTTCTTGGCCTGGCTGCTGCCGTTGGGCTCCCTGAGGTTGGCTGGCTGCAGGCTGCAGCTGGCCCACCAGGAGACCTGTTCCACAAAGCAGGGGAAAACGGTGTCTTCGCTTGCACAAACAGGGTGCAGGCCAGCTCCGTCTCGGAGCCCTGGCTGGAGCTGGGTAGTGTGGGTTAAACAGCATGCATGAACTCTGTCACTGGTCTGTGCAAAAGGCATTTGGATGAATTGACGATGGTGTGAGAGGGTAGTTAGCACAACTCCATTTGCACGTTGCACTGAAATGCGGCCCCAGCAGCTTTGCTCTTGTTTCATAAAGCACATCTACCTCATAGAGCCAGTTTGGTAAACTCATAGCTAAATAGTGCAGGAATTCGCCTGGATCAAAAGAAATCAGGCTGTGATTAAGTTGAATAGAGAAGCTACGGACCTCCCAGAGGCTATTTTTCCTTAATTTCTTGATTCAGAAATGTTGACCGGTGCTAGAGTAGAGAGGACTGGGAAACTGCAGGTCTGGTGTTCAGGGTGATGAGGGTTCAAATGTGTACAAAGTCAACCAATTTATGGGGAAATTCACAAGTGATACTAATAGACAGTGGCCAGGGTGTCAAATGGTCAATATATCTCGTACAGGGCCTAAAATCCATCTTCACGACTGCACGTCACAAGCCTGAGTGACATTAGGATGCATTAAAACTATGCTTTCAATTGGAGAAACACAGAGGAAAGGTAAGAATGCCTCCCATCCCCCACTCCCTGAAACCTTGCAGACAGCTTGTGTTATTAATGTCAGTGAGAGCCTATAAGCAGGTTGAGAAATAATAAGCTTTTGAGAGTCGATAGTTTCCACCTTCTTGGATGACAGCTGGGCTTCTTTTTATTTACTGCTTATACAGGAGGTTGCTTCCTTCCCTCCCTCCATAATCAACAGTGGATTTTTTTCCACTGTCATTCACAACTGCGGTTTCTGTGGCCGGAGCGAGGCCTTGCCTGCTGCTGAGTTGGAACACAGCTGAGTATCCCAAGCGTCCCGCTCCTGACACATGCAGGCTGGGCTCGCCCAGCAGCCAGGGCCCTTCCTGTGCAGGCTGGCTCTGGAACACGGCCCTTTCCTTGTCTCCCTCGTCACTCCTTCCTCTTAGGCGCAGTCCTGTGGCTGTCCACACATCTCCCTGGAGATACATGATCTGTACCCTCTTTCTGCACCACCCTGCCCAGGCCAGCTCTCTCAGGACACCTGTCGGAATGTGCTCTGACTGGTCTGGGGGTCCATCCGCTCCAACACCCTTCGTGCCACAGAGGCCAGGCCGGGAGGCAGCAGCGGGCTCTGACTTGCTTGGCCAAAGTTCTCTGGAGGGTCTTGGGCACCTAGAATGTACCCCTGCCAGGGCCCAGCCAGGCACAGAAAGCAGTTGAGGACAGATTTCACTCGTCCCTAAACCTTTTACTACCAAAGCTACTTCTTAGAATCTACAACTGTAAAAAATGGTCTCGGGACATATATAGCTCATGAATTATAGCTTAACTCCAATGCTTGCCTTTTATTTTAGTGAGAAAAGAAATGAATAAAAAAATACTCATAAGATTGCCCTCTACTGAGGAGGTCATATGTACCTATAGAATCAATCATGTCCCTGTGAAACACTGTCTGCTGGGGCAAATGGAGTCATTTCAGTGGTCTATACTGTAGTGGGACCTTAGGGCTGGGCCAGGGGACCAACTGTTGTTGTTGTTTTTTTTTCAGCTGGATACATTAAAGTAGCAGAATAAATTGGTTGAGAAATTTTTTCTCTGCTTGAGCCTACTCTGCCTGCCCACTGCACACAGGAAGAGCTTCCTAGATGCCGTGGGAGCGTACGTCGCCAGAACGGGAAGTCGTGAAGGTTGATGGTGTTCCCAGACTGACCAAATGCTCTGCATTCATGATCACACTTAATCCTGTCAACAGCTCTGGGAATTATGATCCCCACTTACAGGCGAGGGAGCTGGGCTCAGGCAAATGAATGAACTTGCTCCGTGTCACTGGAACGTAAGAGGTGGCACTTCACTGCCCTCCTGCCCACAGGTGAAGGACAGGTGGGCTAGGAGCACTCTGCTCCCCGGCTTGGGATCCTTTTCCTTTTGGAATGAACGTGGACACAAAGCACCACGGGACACAAGGCCTCCTATTTTGCCTCACTGCGCTGCATTTCCTAGGTCCTTGTTGGTGACGGGACAAAAGTGACTGATGTGAGTGCTCCTCTCCAGGAGCCCTTGAAAGAGAGCCCTGTTGATGCAGGCTCCTGCCCTCCCCACCCCGACCTCCTGCTTCTAGAAAGCCCTCTTTCTTGCGGGACAGGGGTGAGGTGGCTCTACTGGGCTGCTGAGCAGGGAGGGAGGCGGGGGAAACCATGAGGCTGCAGGAGATCAGGAATGTCCTGAAGGAGGTGGGGAGGGTTTGAGGAGAGGTCCCTTGGATGGGCGCAGAGGGAGAAGAAAGTAATCGAAGAAGAAATGGTATTTTCATGGATCTTGCTGCAGATCAGCCTTTGAACTCATTTGCAAGGCCAGCGTGGAGACTGCACACCTTTTTAATACACTTGCTAAACTGAACTTCTTGAATGTAGCACTGCCTCTAATGGGTCCTGACTGTGTACGGTTAATGTACATAAAATTCTCAAACTACAAGAACCATCTTTGTGATGCTGATGTTATAACTGTCTGCAAATTAAAAGAGGGTTAAGTTTAAGGGTTTGGTTGGTCTGAGAGATGAACAGGATACCTCAGATGAAAACTAGAGAAGGCAAGGTGCATACATAGTCATGCGACTGCCCACTGGCTGTGAGTGGGGCTGAGGGATGGGGAAAGAACACAGGCTTCAGAGTCAGACAATCGGAAACGAATCCTGGCTCTGCCACTTGTTCATTGGGTGAGCTGAGTTTTGCCAAACTGTTAACCTCTTGTGTCATTTGTAAAATGGGGGTTATTAACGGAGGCCTGGCGATTGCATGTAGTTTCTATGAGGATCAAATGACATAATAACTGTAAAAGTGAAATCCACACACATCATCAAACAGAACCTCTCCCAGGGGCCAGGCCAGCTCCATCTCCAGGCCTCAGTTCCTAGCAGCATTCTCATGCTTGAGAGAAATGATAAAGTGTCCTTTATGAATTTACCTGGAAAAGCAATGGAAATCCCTAGAAATCAGAGTATTGGGAAATCATGCGTTTCATGTGGTGAACACAAAAGACACCCTTTGGTGATATTGCTGGTGTCTGTTCTGAGTCTCAGGCTGTGTCTGTCTGACCAGCAGGTGGGAATCCTGACAAAGTTCCTGGTTGTCACGTATTGGCTGGATACACAGTGAGAAGACATTGCTCATGTGTCCAACTGCAAACTTGGACAGACCTTTCTGTTGATTAAACAGAAACAATGCCCCAAGACCCCGAAACATGCGTTAATGCTAATTTATAGAATTGCTGTATTGGTCTGTATTGACTTTGAAAAGAAAGACTGGCCCTGGCCAGTTTGGCTCAGCGGTTGGAGCGTCGGCCTGCGGTACAGAGAGACCCGGGTTCGGTTCCCGCTAAGGGCACGTACCTCGGTTGCAGTTTGTCCCCGGCCCTGGTTGGTCGTGCAGGTGGCAGCCACTCGATGTGTCCCTTCACATCGATGTTTCTCTCTCTCTTTCTCTCCCGCTCTATCTGAAAAAAAATGGAAAAATGTCCTCGGGTGAGGATAAAAAAAAAAAAAAAAGAAAGACTGGACTAGGGCAGGTGGTGGGCACTGGTGGGTTGTTTTAAGTAGCACACACATGATTCCCTGAGCTATCTTGGGGCAAACCAAACTACAGTGGTATTCTGTTAACTAGAACTGTAAGCGGCATATTCCTGTTCATAATAATTAATCATGACCCCGAAAGACAATAAAGTAGTTTGTGAGCAAGAGAAAAAGAAGGGGGATTATGTTCCCAGAGTTTGACTATTAAACATTCTTTTTTGTTTGTTTGTTTGTTTGTTTGTTACAGATGTTTCTTGTTTTTTACCCCACTGGCACCACCCTCCTCACCCCACACCCGCCCCGTCCCCGGCTTTGTTGTCCATGTCCATTGGACATGTATACATGCATATAAGTTCTGTGGTTTATCTCTTCCCAGCCCCCCCACCTTCTCTTCTGACGGATGTCAGTCTGTGCCCTACTTCCATGTTTCTGGGTCTACATTATTCCTCAGACTGTTATGTTCATTATATTCCATATATAAGTGAGATCATGTGGTATTTGCCTTTTTCTGCTTGGCTTATTTCACTTAGGATAATACTTTCCAGGTCCCTCCATGTCGTCTCAAAGGATAAGAGATCTTTCTTTCTTACAGCTGCGTAGTACTCCATTGTGTATATGTACCACTGCTTTTTTATCCATTCGTCTACTGATGGACTCTTGGGCTGTTTCCAGATCTTAGCGATTGTAAATAGTGCTGCTATGAACATGGGGGTACATATATTCTTTCTGATTGGTGCTTCAGGCTTCTTAGGGTATATTCCTAGAAGCAGGATCACTGGGTCAAATGGAAGTTCAATTTTTATTTTTTTGAGGTAACACCATATTGTTTTCCACAGCGCTGCACCAGTCTGCATTCCCACCAGCAGTGTATTAGAGTCCCTTTTTCTCCACACCCTCGCCAATACTTGTTTGATGATTTGTTGATGGCGGCCATTCTGACAGGTGTGAGGTGATACCTCATTGTTGTTTTAATTTGCATCTCTCTGATGATTAGTGATGTTGAGCATTTCTTCATATGTCTCTTGGCCATTTGTATGTCCTGTTTGAAGAGGTATCTATTCAGCTACTCTGCCAATTTTTTAATTGGGTTCTTTGTCTTCCTTTTGTTGAGTTGTATGAGTACTCTATATATATTGGAAATTAACCCCTTATCTGATACATCATTGGCAATGATATTCTCCCAAACAGTGGTTTGCCTTTCCATTTTGATGATTGTTTCTTTTGCTGTGCAGAAGCTTTTCAGTTTGATGTAGTCTCATGTGTTCATTTTTTCCTTTATTTCTGTTGCCTTAGGTGATGTATCAGTGAAAATTCTGCTCCGTATGATGTCCGAAATTTTGTTGCCTACATTTTCTTCTAGAATTTTTATGGATTCATGAGTCTTTTACCCATTTTGAGTTGATTTTTGTGTATGGTGTAAGTTGATGGTCTAGTTTCACTTTTT